CTATGTACTTAATTAGAAATGCAAGGCTAGTTAAAAAGACCATTTTTGTGAAAATTCGCTTTGCAATAAATTTTTGTAGAAAATTTTTTGATAATCCTCGATCATGATTGGCTGATTTTGGGGTCAAAACAAATCGGCCGATATGTTATAAACAAAACACTGTTAAAATAATTATGTTAACATACTAACCCATCTATTGTTAAAATTGTGAACTTATTCACTGTTAAAAATTATTGTAAAATTGTATAAAACTACCACTATTGAATCCCAATATTGATGTTTGTGTCATATATCAAATTTTTGGTCATTATAGTTGATATTAATACTAATAAAAATTATTATGTGATTTGGCTAACTTTAAAGCTATTTTGTAACTTACATATAGACCAGGTAAGTTACAGTAAATTACAGTATAACTTAAATTAAATTACATCATCAGATATGTTTTAATAACTCTAGAGTCTACCTACCATTAAAATTGTAATTTACCCAAATATTAAAATCATTAAATCACTATTGCTAAGATTATAAACCTGCTAATTGTTAAAATCATAAACGTTTTTACTATCAAAACTATCAACCTATCAACTAATATTTCCTTACTTATTGAAATTATTTTAATCAATTTAACTAGTTTATTATGCTTAAAGTATAGCATAGTTAATAATTTACAAAATATTAAATAAACTTTTACTTATATTATTTATATAGATTAGTGAAATAATGATATAATAATAATAAATCAATACAAATAGAAAGATATTAGATAAAGATACTTACAGACAAAATAAGATAATGAATGAGTAATGAAAAAATATCGTAATATTTCAATTAAAGATGATTCTTATATATTAAATTTACGAGAGTGAGAAAAATTAAATAGGTTACCTTAGAGACTTCAATTAAATAAATGATTGTTGCATTCACAAACTAAATCAACAGTGCTAAAAAAAGCTAATAAGAGCTGAGTAACTTAAATACATTAAAATAAATAATTAGCATAATATACGATCGGTGCTGCTATCACTGTTGGAGAGAAATCGACTGTGCTACAAATAGTGATCAGATAAAGTTGTTGAAGATCAGTTAATAGTATGACGTTTTAATTGCTTAATCAGATGAATTTATTGAAAGACACTACAAGCTCTCTAAAACATATGTTACTGTATCAAACTTATAACACAACTCAATTTTCCTTTAAACTTTAATTAAATAGAGAAACTGACAAGGAGATTTCCATATAGCTGCGAAAAGAATCAGTTTTATATGACATGAATGCTGCTTATTTAGCTGTGAAGCCCACAACCCATTTAACAAAGGTTCTTGCACAACTATTATAGACATGAAGTCTAAAGCAAAGGTCCTTCCACTTCTACTGCATCCGCAGAACCTAACTGGTAAGGCCCTTGCACTCTACTGTATCCACAGAGCCTAACTGGTAAAGACCTTGCACTTCTACTGTATTCGCAGAGCCTAACTGGCAAGGCCTTGTGCTGCTACTGCAGCTCCAGAGCTAATTGCTACATAAACAAAGTCTTTGCAGTTGTGAATTCTAACTTTACTTATCAAATAAACTAGCTGCCAAGCATTAAGTTTATTGCTAAGTCACTACAAAATGGGCGGGATGGAATGGCGATAGAGCCGTCTTCCTGCAAAGCGAACGATAGCAAAGAGAAAGATGACCTCCCTCTACACTCTTGAATACATTGTATTTACAAACACGCACTTTTCCTTCACCCTATTGATTTCGTGTTGAACTGATATGATAATACCCTCTTGCTATCAGTTACCATAATACCAATAAAAACCTGTATCTAACAATGCAGTCATTACAAAAACGTTCTATAAAAGGTTAAAGCGACAAATCATTGATTATGCACGCTTAACGCTTAACGATTAATGATTAGCGATTAGCGATTACGCTTAACAATTAGCGTGAGAAAACTGATCTTCAAAATTAGTGTCATGAGAAAAAAATGTGATCTGTACAAACGCATAATCCACAACTTTCGGTTTATTTGCCATTAAACCATACACTTACGTTCCTGGTATTTTTTAAAATTCTAAGCATATATTCTTCATAATCTTGATACAAATTATAGAATGACTTTTTAAAAAACTTTAACAGTAAAATTTTTATAATTTTATAAAATAAAATTTTAATTTTACGTATTAATAATAACTTTTTTTCTCTTTAGAAATATATAAAGCTTTTATTTTTAAATTAAATATCTTTAATAAAATTAAAAATAAATGCATAGATCGCACCACACGATGCATTTATATATCATTGACCAGTTAAAAACATATTGCGTGATCAGGTAAACAATATATTTTTTTTATTCACTTTTTTAGAAAGACCATGTCGTTGATTTCATTATTACTAACATTATATTTTTTATAGGTTGATGATCGCATACATTCAAGATTTGGGTTTTGGTATTCGTCGAACCAGACTAAGTATTGCGAAACTTCTAAACAATGGACACGTTGGATATGAAGTTGAGCTTAAGGCATGTATTTTAGTTTCCCTTCTTTGTGAAAATTCAAGCGAAAGCTGAGCCTTCCTTCTCTTGTATAGATAGGTCTCGCTTTATAGTATTTGGAAATCGATCTATATTTTGAATTGGATTTGGGCACGATGTGGTAGTTACTTGTGTTTTATTTCTTTTTTTGTCATCATGCTTTTTCTATTGGCACTTTATTCCTTGCGCCAAGACTTTCATCATACTTGGGTAAGTTTCTGTTCTGTGTTTAGGTTGTGAAATCAAGGTATGTAACGTAGCGTAGGTGTTTCATTGGCTTCATTTCGTCCTTGGTACTGATACATATTCGTTTAATTCATTTTTATTTCTACTTTCGTTTTTGTTCAGATCGTGAACGAGGATAAGTATTTTATTGTTTAAGTTTATTGTTATTCATTTGTGATTATTTGTGTCTTTGCTAAATTGACTTTTGTTTTGTTTTGTAGTCTTATATTGTGAAAATAGTGAAAGAATATGGTCACTATCGTCATAACGATGTAATAATTGTTATTAATCTCCAGTAGTTAAATATTTCCAATCGGTTATTGTAATCACAACGGAATTGGAGTTGACAAGGACGAACATAAGGCATCCATTATTATCAAAAATAGCAGAAATGGACGTTGACAATACATATAGGCTAGGTGCTGAGAAAAGGACCGAAATTGGCAATTTTCAAAAAAATTTCGGGGAGCTTAATTAATCTAAAATTAGTCTAGAGACATTTTTCGCTTAAGGAATAAATACTGTTATCTTAATAAATTTTTGCAGTATAATCCTTTGAAGTTTTTATTTCTTATAATTTATTATAAAATTTATAATATTCTTTTTTGTCAATTTCGTCCCTTTCCCTATATACTGGATATTGTTATCGGAATAGAATTGGCGTTGAAAAGGACGAACATAAGGCATTAAATCATTATCGAAAAGCGGGCATCTAAAGAAATACTCAGATTAGATATTGCTATTTAGAGTGGTTCGAAGAACAATGAACCCAGTAATGATCACATATGACAGACATTCAGCCTAGAGTATAGTTAGGTTAGGGGAGAAGTTTAGGTCAATCAGTTTAATTCTGATAAACAAATGTCCTAATACGCTTATCATATGATCTTTGATCACTGATTTAATTGTTCTTCAAGTGTCCCTTTATTTATTGTCAAAATTTTTCAGGCTGGTGGATCATATATCATAGGATATTTTACAAAAATGAGGCTGGAATTAAAAAGCATGAACGTATGGCATTAATTTATCAAAAATCTGCAGCGATAGGAAACGCTAGCGGAATATTTATTGTTGAACATTACTAGCGACACTACGCACGTGTTGTGAAGAAATTATTTTTAACATATTATTCGATATCGCTTAATCCTAATAATCACAATCTTTTTATCAATAAATTTTTTGCCCAACTAATTGGGCATAATATAATTTTTGGGCAATGGGTTTTTTATTATAAAATCTAAACACGAAATAATACTCAAGTGGTAATTTCGTCTTATGGCTCGGATTGTGATCCGAAATTACTTCTCTGGCAATATTTCGCGCTCGCTATTGCACCCCCGGGTGCGAAATATAAACGTTACACAGGGATGCGATACCTAGATTTGTTCAAAAAGTAAATCCAAAGGTTACTGTTAATAAAATTTTTATTTTTTATAAAAAAACTTTAAATTAAAAAAATTAAGACTACATTATTAAAGAAATTTTTTTATTAATTTTAATTTGAGGTATCTATCTTTTGCACCGGACTATGATAATTTATTCATGTGGCGACATGTTCGAAAATTCTTATATTTTTTTCGATGATTGCTACTCCTCTACGAATAAACAAAAATTCATGAAAAAATTATTACTTTGTAGATCTAAATTTAAACTACAAATTTATGGGTGCAAATCAAGTCTTTAGCAAGATTAAAAGTGACTCGGATGTCATCAGATGGCTTGCACCATAGGCAATTAATGAGCATAAAGCACGGTGTCTTTCATGAATAAAATATAGATTACTTCACCATTAATTTATACAGTCAGAACTCCATAAATGCACACTCCATAAATGCACGGACTAAGTAAAAACTCTCTAAATGCACGGTATAGTCTGGTCCCAACTCATAAGAGCTATATATAATTTCTACTCTATAAATGCACACACTCTCTAAGTGCACTATTTCAAAAATTTTTCCTATGGTCCCGACGGCAGTGCATTTACGGAGTTCTGACTGTAGTAACTTAACATTTTGGTAAACTTATAAATTACCAAAGTTTTACAACTCTGAATTAAATCATTACTTAGAAAAATTTTTGCTCGATATTATTCACATATAAAATAGTTCCATATAGCAAAACCACAAACATATTTATCCTGATCTTTGCACACAATTTCCGTTCCTGGTTTTGCGCGTTGACTTTGCGCAGCTATCTAGTTTCAATAGTACGTATTCAAAATACTGTATTAGTCTAAAAAGTGCCAATTAAATCACGAGATCAAGTGTAACGTAAAAAAAAAAAAATTTATACAATCATTAATCGAAAAAATTTTCCCACAATGTTCAGCAAAAAAGAAAAGTTTGCTTTAGCAAGAGAAAGGCTGCTTGAACTTGACGAGAGAGACAGTGTAATAGAAAATAGTACAATAGAAGAGAATACTATAGAAGTGAAGCCAAAAGAAATTATAGTTTACAATGATGTGCCACTTGAAAGTTACCTCAAATTTCGTGAGAAGGAACAGAAGTTTCATGTCTTTATCCGTTTAAAGAAGGGAAATGTGATTGCATATGATATGATGAGTGGTGTTCATGGGGCAGTACAAGCTCAATTGATTCATTTAATGATCTGTTGGAGTAAACAACTTATTGTTAGTAACGATGTAGATATTACCGTTGGCCAAAATAGTGTGTATAGCCCAGAACCATTGCAGAGAGAAGATCCAAATCCAAGAATCGTTGTAGAAATTGGGAAAACGGAATCTCTTGATAGTTTAAATAATCTAGCAGAGGAGTATTTTTCTGCGCGGACTAACATCCAAATTTATTTAGCAATAAAAATATGGCCTCGTCGATCAGATGGCACTGCCGCAATGCTCGCACTCCTTTATCTACGTAATAATGTAGTCCCAAACCCTGCACTAAACTCATCAAACCCATTACTAAATACACAACCAACAATAACATTACTAAACACTGTACCGAGCCTTGCGATTTCATTCGGAACAGCACCTCTTCATCACCAGCAATTGATGTTTGTTCAAAATACCGGTATGCCACATCATAGAATTACTGGTCTCTTACAACATAGTGATATGCTTGTACAACTGCTGGCATGACAAACTATGTGATAACAATTCCTGCAAATTTACTCTTTAATGCTTTCCCTGGAGGCGTCCCCATTGGAGTACCTGACAATTTCAGCATAGATTTATGGGAATTGCAAAAGAAAGCTCTGATACGTCTGGTGTGTATTGTTTTCTTATTTTGCTGTCGCATTATTATCTGACATTTTTAACTTTTTTTGTTTACATTTTAGTGATAGTATTAATTCAACATAAATATGCTTAGTTGAATAACTCCTTTTTTAAATCACTAACATTAATTGTTGAAGTATTGAAAAGTAAATTTACAGAATTATAATGGATAAAAAAACATCATACCCTGGTGTAAACGAGACGTTAACTCTTTTGCTTTGATTGATTCTTTTGTTTTGCCTTACCTTTTTGCTTCACTTCATCTTTTTGCTTGTCTTTTTGTTTTACTTTGCTTTTGCTTCGCTTTACTTTTTGTTTTGCCAAAACTTGATCTGATATTAAAACTGTCAAAGCATGACTTACTGAAATAATTAGTCTAAGGTTTCAATTATATTATAATTTCATTCTCGATATATTTTATCTTTTAAAAGCTGATTAGAATGATATTGGAAAAGCCTTAATAGATCTTCTTACAGAAATTTAGCAAGGATGCATAAAATTGTTTCTTATGTGAATGTTTAGTTGAAATACTAAATGTTGCAAAACTAAAGTGCTCAAATTTATTCTTTTTACAAACGTTTACTTAATACACCCAAACCCTAATATAAATGTATCACACATATCGTAACAACTATTTTATGGTGGCAATACCAGGAGAGAACTGCTTTAAATGATTTTTAAATTAAGATAATTTCTTATCATAAAAATGATTTTTAATTATACTGTATAGCACTAGAATACTAAATCATTAAGCCGTTAAAACAAAACATGTCACCAAATGCATAAATCTTAACCCTATAAAAAAAAAATTTCTTGAAATTGTTCGGAAAATTCTGAAATTATTCAATTTTTTGTTCAGAAAATCGACTCCGTTCCGAACATTTTAAAGGATGTTTATTGGATGTTCATGTTTTTATATAT